GCAAAAGTTTACACTTACTAATTTTTAAAATTATGTCTATAGTTTTTTTAAAATTTATTATAAATTTCAATGAAAATGTACAGAGACTTTGGAGTTCCATTCATTCATTGTTGCACTTTTCTCGCCTCCCAACCCATTTTGAATAATATTGCATGAGTTCCCTGTTTTTCAATGCAGAGTAGTATTCCATTGTGTGAATATACCACAGCTTCTCTATCCATTTGTTTATTGATGGGCACTTAGGTTGTTTCTAACTCCTTGCTACTGTGAACAAAGCCATGATAAATATGGGTGTGCATATATCTGCTTGGATGTCAGTTATGGTCTCTTTGGGGTATACTCCCAGTAGTGGAATTGCTGAGTCAAGTGGTATCTCTGTTTGCAACTTTTTCAGAAAGTGCCATACCGCCTTCCACAATATAGCTGTAATATTTTTTTTTAAGAGGAAATTGTATGACATGTGTGAGTGCGCTGTGAGATTAAATAAGACACATGGAGTCACTAACCCTGGGCCTGGCACATCACCAGCAGGTGCATCGTCCAGCGCCGGTGACCTTCCAGAGTCCCTCCCAACTGTCCAACATGTGGAAGTAAAACTGACGACAGCAGAGAGGACAAGCGGAGCAGGGCTGGCTCCGGGAGCGCCTCTCCCCAGAAGAGTGTCCCAGCTCCAGACACGGGACATGTGCCCTGTCCTTCTACCACAACCCTCTCCCCACCCCCTGCCCTGGCAGGTGGACGCTGCTTCTGTAGACCATCACGTCCCGCCAGCGCTCCTACCTTGAACACATTCTCACTGTTGATGAAGCCAAATCCTGAGAAGGTAGACTGCAAGTTGTTTAAGGCCTGTTTGAGGAACAAGAACGGAACAAGGGTGATATTTTGTTTCTGTAAGTCATTGCCCTTTCTGGAGGGCAAGCTGAGCTGGACATCGCCCTCTGGCTAGCCGGGAGGCCCGCGCTGACGCACCTGCCTCATGTCCCCCTGGGCGGTGAAGATGATGGCTTCCAGGCCGTCGTCCGTGTACTGCACTCTCTCCTTCTCAATCACATTCATCAGTCTCATCAGGATCTGTGCGTCCGTCAGCTTGGTGTAGCGGAGCACCGCGCACCGGGACTGAATGGGCTCTGAACACACAGGAAGGGCGAGGTGACCCTGGCTGTCGGCAGGAAGTGGCTCCAGGGCCCACGGGGCCGGTGATGCCGCCCACCTCTCTCGACCCAGCAGGTGCTCAAGACGCACTTGGTAAGGGAGGCCTCAGCCAGCACAGCCTGCAGGCCGGCCTTGGCAATATTTCAGCTTCCAGAAGGAAAAAGCACCCCTAGAATGAAGCACCCACAGGTCACTGTCCTCAGGTGAGTCAGCACCCACCCAGGTGGGCTTCAGCTAACTGTGCACCCCCCCACACACACACTGCCTGCCTATAAGGCATCAGGCACCTGGGCAGACACAAGCCTGTTAGCCCGGCTGAGAACTGGTCCTGCAGGGCTACAGGTGTGATGTCACCATGGCGCGCGCGCACACACACACACACACACACACACACACACACACACACACACTCACTCTCTCACTCCCTCTCTCTCCTCCTTCCACTGAGACCCTCATAGCACCTGCTCCATCAGCCCCAGGCCCCAGCCTGACCGCTCTGACCCACACTCTGCACTCCTGGCCGTGCAGGCCTTCTGACCCATCGCCGTGTCCTGCCAAGGCCTGAATGCTTACAGATGAGTCCAGGAGGAACCTCTCCCCCCACTTCACCCTCCTCTGCTCCCCTAAACCAGCTTCAGTGCCCTTTCTTCCAGAACAAACAGCTACACTCTCACCCGGCAATGCATCCCCCCAGTGTCCACATTCTGCCCATGCAAATCACCCCCACCTTTGCAACCTTCTTCCAAATGCAGCATCCCGCGTGGCCATCCCAGACTCCCCAGACCAGAGCTGCCCCTCTCTCCCTTCCCCCACGACAGCTCTGTTCATCTGTTTGCAATCAGTGAGCTTCCTCAGCGTCAAGGAGGCGGATGATCTGAGAAGGTTCCAGGACAGAAAGAGGCAAAATGCAGAGTCTGCCACCACCCGGACGGGGCTGAGGAAGCGGTTTATGGGAAGAGTGTGTGAACTGTGATCTGACAGTGACCAGCTCGGCCTGCAAACGATGAGGTTCCTGGTGGGGACGCGAGAACAAGGTGCTGAAGGACGTCCCCCTCCCTGCCGGCCGGGCAGTGCACGCTGCTAGTGTCGGCTCCAGGCTGTGGAGGCCGCACCCACCCGGCTGTCCCTCCAGCGGGGCTGGGGGCTCTAAACTGCCCAGGAGGAGACCGCTCACCTTTCTCCTGCAGAGGCGCAGAATTAGAACCGCCGGGGAGGCGTGGCCTCTGCGTTAGCAGTGCCCGGCCGGCAGGTGAAAGGGCAGTGAGCTCAGGGACTGGCAAGATGCGCTGAGGCCGCAGGGCGGGAGAGCTGGGGCTGTGTCCAGACTGGACCCTGGAGTGGGGCGTCAGACCAGAAGGCCTACGCAGGGCAGTGGTGGGTCAGCCTCGCTCTTCGGTGGCTATCTAGGTAGCCACCCGAGGACTACAGGTGCAAGTGCCACCAGGGGACAGTGCACCAGCCAAAGTGACGGTGAGGGCACAGCCTGGGTCAAGGGGAGGAGAGGCTTAAGGACCCAGGCCGAGGTGGGGGGCTGGCTTCCACGAGCAGAGGCAGGAGAGGGTGCAGGGACTCAGGTTTGGGGATCACATCTCCAGTCTGAATACCTCCGTGAACCAAGGACTGGGTCTCCTGTAAACCTACACCCTCCACAGTAGTGTACACACCAGACGCTTTGCTATAAAGTGTCCCAGTGTCTGTCAACAAATAAACTCTAAAAGGCCTTCACCAAGAGCTTCAAATCCTCTGAGGTTGGGCAGTGTCATGTGGAACTGGGTCTGCATTAGTGATTACCAGACAGGAGAAAAAAATCTCTTAGAAACGGAAGTTCATACCAAAAACCATCTGATACGCCAACAGCACTACAAGTCTCCTTTACAACGTTAACTCACAGCATTTAAATGTATTCCAGAGGTAGGTCTCCGTGGCCTTCCTCAGAAAACATGCCTCACTCCTCCCTGGTGTGGCCAGAGCCATGCCAGGCTCAGTTCCTCAGAGTTTCAGAAATCAAACCTGTGGCCAGGTGACTGTGAACCATTTCCTATAAGGCCTGGAAAGGAATGTCTTTGTGGGGTTTCATTCAAGTGTGTGAATCCCTTCAGAAAGCTTCATGAATCAGAAACATTAATTTCATGAAAAGAAAAAGTGCCACGGTGCATTTTATGTGGCCAGGGTAGATTCCCAGTGGTTTTGCCGAATGCTAGACGAGTTTCTGTTTCCTTCTGTGATCTATGTCATTCGTTGCCTCCCGTAATGTTACAGAATGAAACGCCAAGTGAGAACCTTCCAGATGCCACCCAGGGGACTGTCGGAGGAAGGGCAGTTAGTTCGGGTGTGCTCTGCCTGCAGACTAGTTATTCTGGTAGATCTCTCTCAACTCTGCACCCTTCCCTCACCTGACCTACGGATCTTGGGACAAAAAGCCTGCAGGTGTCTACAACCTGCTGCCTGGTCCAAAGAGTTTAGAACGTTCTATCCCTGCAACTGTGTGAGCCAATTCCTAAAAGTAAATCAGTCTCCTGGTCCTTCCATACACATGTATACATTGATGGTCTAGATGGACATGTATGTAATACATGCACACACACACACACACACACACACACACGCGCGCGCGCAGACTGTAAGGCTGCTCTGGTGGCGTAGTGGTAAGGAACTGCATTGTTAACACAAAGGTACACAGTGGTTCGAGTCCACCCGCTGCTCCGTAAAAGATGGGCAAGCTCTTCCCACACCATTTACTGCCTCTGAAAATCCGCTAGAGGGTCCGTCATGGGTTGGTTCTGACTCGATGGTACATAACAACAGATATATATGGGTGTGTGTACACACACACACACACACACACACACACACGTTGTGTGCCGTCGAGTCGAAGCCGACCCAGCAATGACAGTAAATCATACAGGAGGAGACTGTTCACCCTTCACCCACAGAGCAGCTGGTGGATGCAAACTGCATGCCGTTGACCTTGCAGTACAGCCACCAGAACTCACTCACTTCCTCTCTTTCTCTCTCTCTCTCTATTTATATATATTTACACATATACATCCTCTTCCCCCAGTTTCTTTAGAGAACTCTGACTAAAATACAAAGTCAAAGGCTTCCTGCTCCACAAATGCTGTTGCCAATCACTGAACAATTTCACTGACACCAGCCCTATGTCAGCTGCACTGGAAGGATGTCTACAACAGCGTCCTGCCCTCAAAGACTTGTCAACCAGAGACTGAGGCCAGAAGCTGTGTGTATGAAGAACTATTGCCGCCTTCTCCACTGAACCCCTGGTCTCCTGCAAGTAAAGGCTAGTTCTCAGGAACTCAGCCCTGGCATGTGGTACCAACGGGAAACAATCTCGTGAATGAATTAAGAAAGAAATACATGGCTACTTGGGGACCCTGAGAGGATTCCTGGGAGGCTGGGAAGCAGGTCTCTGTGGGGATGGCTTGTCTGCGGCCCGGGTACAGAGGAGTAGGCCAGGCGGTGTGAGATCACATGGGCGGCCACCCCAGTGTCACAGAAACGAGGCTAGGACAAGGGAACTAGAAAGCCGCAGGGAGTGTTGGGAGAGAAGCTGGACGGTGAGCCTGGTCCAGACCACAAAGGGAACTATAGGAAACCAGAGGGAAGGTGACAGATTTGCCAGTGAGGAAGCAGAGAGGCTGCTGGGAGAGGGGCGGGGAGGACTGGAAAGTCAAAGAGAAGGTAACACTTAAGACTTGACACTCAACCAACTCAAACTCCCTGCTCTCGAGTCAGAACCAACTCACAGCGCGCCCTCCAGTGAGCTTTCTAAGGCTGCAAATTGCATGGGAGGAGACCGTCAATCTTTGTTCAGGGAAGCAGCTCACCAGAGAAGCACCACCTTCGCCTCAGCCTCACATCTCCGTTAGGGCCCTGCCTTCTAAGGACATCAAAGAGGAAGCAATTCCTGGTAAAAGCAAAGCGCACTGAGCAGACCGTATATACTAAGTGCTCAGAGCAAACGGAAAATACAAGAGCCTGTCTGGAGAGGCGCAGTGATTTATACGCCGGGCCTGAGACATCAGAAGTGTCGTGTGTGAGGAGAGACTGCAGGTCAGACTGTAGTCACAGCCGTCCACCTGCTCTGTGGCTTCAGACCAAGCACTCAACCCCTCTGAGCTTGTCTTCTAGTCTCTAAAGTGGAAACAATAATACCTCTTCACAGACTAGAACAGATTAAACGCACAAGATGATTAGAGAGTGCCTGGTCTTCCTCTTCCAGAGTTACAAAGAGCCAGCACGAACCCCACGTCACCCAGAGCTGGCCTCACCTATGATTTTATCCGAAGCATTGCAGGCAAGAGCAAAGCGCGTGGTCTTCGAGTAGATTTCCATGGTTCTCCGCAAGGCCTGCTGGGCGCCGTCAGTCATGCTGAGAAGGAAAAAACACAGGAGACACACTGCACTGGGACCTCAAGCCTACTGGGCACATCTCTCCCCAGACACAGTAACCCAGGACAAGTCCAACGTCCTGGGCTGCTGTCTCAGAAGTTTAATTCTATCAACCCATAAATGCCAAACCCCACAAGCTGTGCTCTGAGGACTGACAGAGCAGATTTACTGTTGAACAAAATCACCCCTACAGGGGCTGCATTCAGATGCCAGGGCTCCCCGCAGCTCTGCCAAGACGTGGCGTCAGTGGCCAACTTTTCTACTAAAACGATGGCGTCCCAACCCCTTACTAAGCATTCTCAGTTCTCCAGTTCTCTCCAGGTGCCCTGAGGGTTTACACAGGCTGGCTCCACAGGTAAGAGCAACCTGACTGCCTGCACTTGGCTGTATTACCTTAGTTCTCACCTGTAAGGTGGACATGATATACTACTGGATTCACGGCTTTATGACCATTAATTGTGACACTAACATACAATAGTCAGGAGGCAGAAACAACCTGCGTGTCCACGGAAGGGATGCTGGGACCCCTGTAGTGACTAACAGTCTTGGACTGTCTGGGAGTCCTTAAGTATACACAAAGTCTATATACACAAAGTACAGCCCACCCACCTCTACCCCAGAAAGTGCAAAGGTTTTCTTCACAACCCAACAAAGTTCTCTAAGAAAATACAGAACAACTCCTCAAGTTCTTGAAGAGATTTAGAGATCAAGGCCAAAATGTACTTAGCAAAGCACCTTACCTGTCTGCTTCATCCAGGATGATGATCTTATGCCGGCCTTTGGGAAGGGTGACTTTCTGCTGCGCAAACATTTTGATTTTATTCCGTACAACGTCAATGCCCCTGAAACAAGAAATTAAGATTTTTTTTTTACTTTTTTTTTTGTGTGTGTGTGTGTGTGTGTGTGTGTGTGTGTGTGTGTACCGTCAAATCAGAGTTGACTGGTACAGGAGATTGTTCCTCCGTCTCCGGCAAAGCATCTGGTGGATTTGAACTGCTCACATCTGGGATTGCAGTGCAACTTCTTGCCACTAAGCCACCAGAGCTCGCTAAGAAATTAAGATTTTACTGTCACTTTCTTTCTTTTTTAAAATTTTATTTATTTATTTTTTAAATTGTATTATTTTTACGTGTACCGTCAAATCAGATCTGACTGGTACAGGAGGAGATTGCCCCCTCCTTCTCTAGCAAAGCATCTGGTGGATTTGAACTGCGTACCTCTAGGATTGCAGTGCTACTGTAACTTTCTAAGACACATTCCATTTCCTTCATGGAACCTTTAACTCTTGGTACAGCACCAAGGACTACAGGACCCAACTGTAATTGTTCAGTTTTGGACAATTCTAATTGTTATTTCATTAAGACTTATATTCTTTCTTTAGAGGTTTTCCAAAGAACAAAGAAAAATGATTCAGAATGCCACACACTCTCTCCTCGAGCCCCAGACGCACCTGTCATTGGAAGCATTGAGTTCCAGGACAGCGTCCTTCAGTGCAGGGCCCAGCAGGGCTCGTGCCAGACACAGGATGCTTGTCGTCTTCCCAGTTCCCGGGGGCCCCTAGGAACAAGATCTCGGTAAATGCTTCATGTCACCTTCAATATCAACACTTCAAGAATTACTCCTGTTTCCCCACCCAGCGCTGTTTATATCCACTGCCCTGCAGCAGCCCCACCTCATCCCAGAGAACAATCAGCAGAGCAAACAGCCTGCTCGCATGAAATGCCTCCCTGGGCTGCAGTGACAAAGCGCCTCTCTGAGGAAGTGCGGGACCAGTTAGGTGGACAGGGCAAGCAGGACTCCGACAACAGAAACCATCGGGAGGAGGCCTGAGTACTTACAGCAATGATGATGTTGGGTACGTTCCCTTCTCGTGCGAAGACCTGAGAAAAGAAACATTCGTTAATGCCAGTTAGTCTGCCCTGCTATCCCCTGCTTGTAGACATAATAATATTTTTATGATAAACTGAAGGACTACTACTCTTTGTTCATGTTTTATCATGGATGCATCATTTTATATTTACACAAAACCAAGGAGGTAAATAATTTGAACAAGCAACAGTCATAAAATATTACTAACAGAAGATGTGTAAGCAATTTCTGCATAGTCTAAATCTCTTGTGTGCCTTATTTGTAAATTATCTGCAGTTTAGAAAATAGTTTTCTAGGGGAGCTCTGGTGGCCTAGTGGCAAGGAGCTGCAACTACAATCCCAGAGGCGCACGGTTCGAATCCACCAGATGCTCTGCTGGGGAAGGTGGGGCAATCTCCTCCTGTACCAGTCAGATCTGATTTGACGGTACACACACACACACACACACACACACACAATAATAATAATAATAATAAAAAAGAAAATAGTTTTCTGAATTTGAAAACTGCTAGATTAATGCAGCCAGCATTGCAGGTTATCAGAGATCAAAGGCTGTAATAATCATAATAAATTTGGTAAATCGTAAGCTAAGGGTCACTCTTATGTTCGGTACCACCTGGTTGTCCTTCCTAAGTGTCTTCGTTTTTATCTAGCCTTGGAGGGTCAGTAAGTGCCTTTGATCAATAGTACCGAATTCTCTTGGCTCAAGTATGCTGTTACTTGAATATTTAACCGTGGTTTAGAGGGCTATCAAAACATATATATATTTCATGATCTTTGACCTGTCATTAAAAAAACACAAAAACATATTACAGGGCCAAAACCACCACCCCAGTCAATCTGAAAGCCTTAGGAGCAGGTTCCTTGAGCTACCAAACCCATAGAATTCTCACTGAAGAGTCACCCTCCCTAGACATCTGGGGCCCCACCCACGCCTCCTCTTCTAAGCATTGTCTGTGCATCTACCCAAGTGCTCCTGTCTGGAGTCAGATGTCAGCAGCAGCCTTGACTGGCCCTTCTCCTGGAGCCCACACCGCAGCTCAGCGACAAGCCTGCTCTTGGCTCTTTTCTCTCCAGAATTCACCAACCTCTCCTCACTTCCTTTCTCACCTTCTCAGTTCATTATCTCTTGCCTGGATTGCTTTCAACAGGCCATTAGCTGGTCTCCCTGCCTCTAAATGTGTCTCACCCTAATTCATTTCTTACATTGTAACTGCAACCGCCTTTCTAAGATGCAAATGTCTTTAAACAGAAATTGCCTTACTGAATCCCTTGGATGAACGCTAAACACCTGTATGAAATACAATGTGGGGGTGGCCGAGTCTAACTTCTACCTGTTTCATAAAGTGGAACTTTCCCCCTCAGTAATATCCATAGTACCATATAATCACATGGTCAGACACGGCACCCGACATGCCCCTGTACCTATTTCTTTTCCTCCTCCCACATCTATTTCTACCAATCATTGGGTCCAATGTTCATTTCAAATTGACTCTTGGATTTTACTCACAGAGGAGGTAAAGAATATCACAGAAAGATACAATTCCTCAATTAGTTCAGAGAGCTTCTCAGTCAACAAGTGAAGATCTAGATTTAGTTCAGTAGTACAAATAAACTTTTTTTTTGTGAGTGTACCGTCAAATCACTCTGACTGGTACAGGAGGAGATTGTCCCTCCTTTCCCGGCAGAGCATCTGGTGGATTCGAACCGTGTACCTCTGGGATTGTAGTTGCAGCTCCTTGCCACTAGGCCACCAGAGCTCCCCAAACTTTTTTTTTTACAAATTTAATTTTATTTGCATGAACTTTTTTCTTTTTATTGATATTTTAATAAAAGTTCACAGAAAACTTGGGTTCCCATTCATTCATTGTTGCACAATTCCCTCCCTTCCCCTCCGCCCCCAAGTCCAGTTTGCCATGCAGCTCTTATTCTGGACTGTTGTCACACAAATAATATCTAATCATATATCTCTTTTAGACAGTTCTTTCCCTAATCAGTGTTCATTATTTATCCCCTCTTTTCTTAGCTTCCCCAACCCTCATGTCAGTTTTTTTATAATACTGGCATTATACAGTATTTGTTCTTTTGTGACAGAGATATTTACTCAGCATAATGTCCCCCAGGTCACCCATTTTGTATAATATTTTATGAGTTCCTTGATGTTCAGTGGTGCACGGTATTCCATACCACAGCTTCTCTACCCATTCATTTGTTGATGGGCATTTGGGTTGCCTTCATCTCTTTGCTATTGTGAACATTGTGTGAACATTTACAAATCAAATTGGTTTCTATTTGAAAATATAGTTTAGCCTCATGGAAAAGGTGATATTCCATTTCAGGTGAAATTTATTAGTTTTATTTGATCATGTTATTTTCACAAATAAACTTCTGGTTACCTCAATTGGTCTAGCAAACTTTATCTCAGAATAGTTAACAAGTCAGTTTTTCTTTCAATCATCCAGCAAAGCAAAACCTTTAACTCTGGCTACATCTCCATGGTTCTTCTGGTTACATCTTGCTAGTTACTTCATAGCAGTGCCACAGTCTCTCCATCATCGTCTCTCAGTGTGGAAAGCGCTCTCTTATATTGGTCCCACTGCTGTTGATGACTTCCAAGACCACGTGTCCACAGTTGAAGAAACCATGTTGGGGACGGGGAATGGGGGGGATGGATAATGCAATGGACAGACACACCAAGGTTTCTGACACTACAACACCTCAGCATAAAATCCACATCCTTAAATAAGAGCCCACAAGCTCCAAACATAGTCTAGATCCTCTCCTCTTCATCGGGCTTATTTATTTCTCAGTAATTATTTACTACTTAACAGGTGCTAAGCATTAGGGAGGAGAGCTCTCATGGCCTAGTGGTAAGGAAGTTGCACTACTAATCCAAAGGCAGGAGGTTCTAATCCACCAGCTGCTCTGTGGGAGAAAGATGGGCAATTTCCTCTTGTTCGATTTAGAGCCTTTGAAAATTCACCGGAAGGTCAGCTGAGTCAGTTCCATCTCAAAGGCAGTGAGTTTGCCACCCCTGTTCTAGGGAAATATTGAATGAGTCTGGGGATCCTGCCCCAAAATAAAACTCCAGGCCTTCAATGATGGGAAATCACACATTACAGCTTCCAGGCTTCTCTAAACTCAAGTCTCATCCCCTCAAATCCCTTCCCCCTCGCTATCCTGACCATCCCCCTCCAGCTTGCCGATGACAACACAAGATCACCTGATACACGTCACTCACCTCCAACCTGCTCACAGTGTCCTCATTCCCAACAATTTCATTCAGCTTGATTGGTCTATACTTTTCAACCCTGGTGTTTAAAAAGGCAAACATAAAAATGGTGTCATCACTATTTTCACACTACCCAACAGAGAATACAAAAAGGCAATCCCCAGAACTCTGTCAGGCTGCACACACGCAATACAACGATGCCACACGGTGGCAGATTTCAAACTCAGTGGGGTGCTTGCTATGAGCATGAGAACTGAGCAGACCACACAGCCTGCCGGTCCCATCCAGCACAGGTGACCTTTACATAGATGGGCTTGGCGCAGCACCGTCCCTTCCTCCTCTCTTACCTGCAAGTTTCGGCCTAAGTGCATTACACTCCCTGGTTCGCCCTCTGCTTGCACCTGCTCAGGGACCCGCTTTGCTTGAGGTGTGTGAGGATGCCGGTCTGCGGCTCATCTCACCACAGAGCAAACTACATGCATCCCATTTAGATGTCTGCTAACTCCTGCCTCTGTATTCCTGTCCCTCAACCATGCCCTTCCCAACTAGAGCAATTATCCTGAGCTGTGGGGAATTCTACGGAGCCTTGGTGGTGCAGTGTGTGATGTATCAGGTTGCTAACCAAAAGGCTGGTGGTTCTAATCCACCAGCTGCTCTGCAGGAAAGAGACAGGTAGTTTCCTTCAGCAAGATGTACAGCTTCAGAAACCCGATTGAAGGGTCACCAAGGGGCAGAAACCACTCAGTGCCAGTGGGTTTGGTTTTCAGTGGATGGAGTCCTGTAAGAGAGTGGGGCACACTCAAACAATACAAGTGCCGGCAAGGAGCTCTTCCCAAGGTTCCCTACGCTCTTAGATACCCAGGATGCTATTTAAAACAACCAACAGCAAGGAAGCCAGTGCCTTCTTCACACAAGCTGTGTCTTGACACTTCCCAAGGCGTGACGATCAGAGATGCCCCTACACAGACACTGGCCGGATGAGAGCATGCGGTCAGATGAGGGTCATCTAAATGTAAATTATACCCTACGTGTATGTGTAACTATTATCTTGAAAATGTCAGCCTCATTAATCATAAAAAGAATTCTGATGACTATAACAAGTATTAAAGGAGCTCTGGGGGCTTACTGGTAACAAGCTGCCAACCCAAACACAGGCAGTTCGAATCCACCAGCTGCTCTGTAGGGCAAAGATGGGTAATTTCCTCCTGAGCGATTTACAATCTTTGACATCCCACAGATGGAGTAGCTATGTGTCAGTTCCCACTCCATAGCACAATCAGCTACAACAAGTATTAGCGCATGCCAAGAATACTCTTCTGGTCCTTAAAAACCTTACTGGGACAAATACATATAGAATATTTGCCACTTCAACGATTTTTATGTGTAGATTTCAGTGGTACTGATTTTATTCACCATGTCACATTACCCTTTCCCAAATTATTCATCACCATTGATGTACCCCTTCTTCAACCTTGCCCTCTCTCCTACCCCCAGTAACTTTGGACTCTATATTTGCCTAGTGTCTATAAATGAGGTTGTATAGTATTTATGTCACTTAGCATGTTTTCAAGATTCATCCACATTGCAGCATGCACCAGAACTTAATTTTTCTTTAAGGCTGAATAGCATTGCCTTGTGTGTACCACATTTTGTTTATCCATTCACCTGTTAATGGTCATTTCAGTTGGGGAACCATTGTTAATTAGCACTGGTCCACGAAAACTCGTTTCCAGAGCTCAGATCGGCCACTCTACACTCAAGGTGGGTGCAGTGACTAGAGTCCTGCACTTTCTCCAGATGATCTTGCCAGCATGCCAGGCCGCCCCCTTCACTCAGGGTCCCCCCAAAACTAGCTCCTGCTCTTGGGCGCTCCAACCATAAGGCCAGCCACTCTTCCCCACACTCCCGTCGGGATGCATCCGTGATTTACGGCCTGGGTCCTCACCATGGCAGCTCGTAGTGACCGGTACTGCTGGATGCCTTGCTGGGCGCGGAGGAAGGGTCCTGGGGATCAGTCTCCGCTGCGCTGCTGCCACTTTCCTGCACCTCCATTCTCCCGCCGTCTCTTCCCGCCGCCCGAGACCACGCCCCTCGACGTCACGACGCAACCCCGCCCCCTCTACTTCAGACGCGGGCGGAAGTCGGACGCAGGCTCTTTTCTGCGCCTGCGCGAATGGCACAGGATGCGCAGGCGCGCATTGCTAAGGGCTGTGGTTTCTGTGGGCAGCCTGGCGTCCGGCCGGGCAGTGACAGGGTGGCCAGGCCAGTCTGCATCACCTTCAAAGGAAGCATGTTGCTTCAGGAACAGCCTTTTCTGATTTTCGTCTTTGTGCAGTTTGTCTGGGCACGCTCTCCGGTGGCCATGGCCGCCCAGATGCACCACTCTGACACATTGACAAGTACTGACCTTGGGGGGTCTTGGGTGTCTCCCGGCTGAAGCTGACATCTGGGACCTCTGTGCTCTATAATGTGGATTGCTCAGAATAAGGCTCAGCTGTGGTGAGCTCCTACAACAGGAACTTGATTTAGAGACTGACGTTTACTAAACAGGAATGTCTCACAACGCTGCGAGTTGGAAACGATCCCCATTTTGCAGACGAGAAAATATGTGACCCAGTTGATATGTGTATATATACATATACATATATATTAACACCGCACCCGTTGTCATCCAGCCAAACTGATGGCGACCCCGTGTGCATCAGAGTAGAACTGTGCTCCATGAGATGTCAAGATAGCCAGGCTTTTCTTCCGAGCGTCTCTGTCCACAGACCTCCAGCCAAGCATGTTAACTGCACCGTCCAGGAACTCCAGAAAAATAGGTACTCCAAGTTCACAAATGTTCTCAACGTTCTCTTGGGCTGTTTTTCTACCTTTTGAGTTAATCATAGCCTAACTCACCCATTTCCCTATGCGTGCCCTGGAGGCAGGTACCCCATGGAACCCCAAAGGAAGTACCCCCTTGTTGTACAGATAAACAAATTGGAGTATGAGAAAATAATTTGTTAATTTAGTTTGCAAGTTTTGGAGCCAGGATTTTGTCCCTGCCTGTCGTGTTCCTGAAGCACTTAGTTTAAAATCCTTTAATTGCATTTACCATATCACATTATGACTTTGTGGTAAAAGTGGCTTTAACATCTGAATTGAAGGAAAGGATTGAGGCCTATTTATTTCTATCTCGGGGCTTAGAGCCTGGCGCGCTGTGATTGTTCAGCTGAACGTCTTTATGATGAACAGTTGGGATCTGTGTTTCCAGAACAGTCTGGACCAGCCGGATTATCTCATCAGAGGACTGAGAAAATCCCAGAGCTGTTTCCCATTGAGTATCAGTTATTATTTGTAAATATCACAGGTGAGAGGCTTCCTCTTCTAGTCATTCCGATGCAGGCTCTGGGTTGCAGGAGATTGTTCTCTGTTCTTACTCTAACCTTTTTCTTTCTTTTTTCATCTTTGCATCCCTAGAAAAGAAACCATGCCCATTGTGGAAATGTTCCGGGAAAGTTGTGTTCCTTTTTTTTCACTTGTAGAGCGTACTCCATCTTTCTGTCCTAAGTGTGATTCCCACATAAGAGCCTGGCCCCTGTTCCGCTACTAGTGGTTTCTTCTTTTTGTCCAGAGGCCTGGATTGATGTCTACCAAGCATGCCAGCTGTGCAGGCAGGCTGGCAAGGTGGAGGCAGTGACGGCCCGTGACAGGCATGTCCTGAGATGAGACGATAGCATGTGCAGCTGTGTTCTTCTCCAGCTCTTTCCAGTTGGGCCAGAACCTTAAAGGACCCAAAGTCTGAAGCAGTTGGTGCCAGTGACCCTGAAATCCCTAACCAAGCCCGTTGGTGTCCAATTGATTCTGACTCCCGGGGGCCCCTCTGTGGGATTTACAGGAGGATGCTGCCCATGTACCTGTCTGTCTCTGAGCATCATTCTCTCTGTTAGATATAAAAAAGAGTGTGAGGTCGCGAGGGAGAGAAATAAAGAAAGAAATTGGTCCCAAGAAACAAACAGGACTTTATTGCGCAGTCTGAGAGCGACTCCAAGTGACCTGGCCCATGGTATGCGGAGAGGATAGAAATGGCGTGCGGGCAGTTTGGGGGAGGGGTTTCCTTTTTATAGGGGTTATGGGGAGCACTAAGATGATACTTCTCAGAATTTGACGTGTTAAGTTAGGTTTTAGCTATTTTTTATCAAGCTCAGACTCTTAGCAGGATCCATTGTCTGGTCTGGTCTTTGATAGGACAAGCTTAGGTGTTAGCAAGTTTCTCAGGAAGTGATCAAGCTTGGTGGGGCAACTGCCATCTTCTTCCTTCACTCTCTCTCATTGCCGAGAAGTCACAACTGAGCCCTCATTGGGTTTTCGGAACTGTAAGTCACAGAAAGGAGATTGCTGGCCCTTCTCCCTCCCAGCTCCTGGTGGCTTTGAACTGCTGGAGAGATCAGATCTTTGGGTTAGGCTAGGCCATGGCTGCTGGGGTCAAACTCCCAAGCAGCCCAGTACTTAACCTATTCCACCACTAGGGCTCCCTGTTTCCATGATAACAGAACTCGCTTCCTTCAGTCCATTTTAGCTCATGGCCACCCTCCTCCAGGTTTTGAGGGATGCAAATCTTTAAGGGAGGAGGTGACTCATTTACCTCCCATAGGGCTTCAAACTGCTGGCCTTTTGATGAGGAGCCAGACACTTTATACACCCTGCCACCAGAGCTCCTGTTTCAATGCAAGTCATTACTAGAATCTGACATTCAGAACTCACACAGTCTTTCTTTTTATATCATTTAGAAAAAAGGGCTTGAAGTTGGGTATCTCCTAAAAGCATCTTTAAAAATCACTCTTCACGGGTCCTTTATTTTGAGGAGAGGAGAAAAAGATAAGCTTTCCTTGAAATGTCTCTGATTTTTTTTTCCTTGGGACTTTTTCCCATATGGTGATATTCCTATTTTCCTCTTGCTCTCATGCACACACATCTCCCACCGCACAGTCTATAAATTGAACATTCTCAGTAAAGCAGAGAATTCTTCCTCCAATGTGCCCCCCTCCCCGAGCCCCACTCTGTAAGCAGCCCTGTGAGGCCCCAGAAGCCACTAGCACTGTGGGGCTTGGGGTGGCAGCAGGGTGGGAGAAAGCGTTGACCTTTGGGGCAAAACTGCACTATCAGGACATTTTTCCTTTCTGCAGACTGATTCTTCTGTGACAAGTTGGACTTGGGCCCAGAGAGAGCACAGAGCTTAGCACTGAAGCCCCTCCCCTGGGTTGAGCAGCTGGTGTTGTTGCTAGGTCCTGGGAGGGTTAGGGAGACCACAGGCTCTTGTGAGAGGACCCCCGGAGTGAACTCCTGTTGTTCTCCAACACAGTGAGGCTCCTAGGGACCCTTCATCGGTTTTCAAGGCTGTGCACCTTTACATGACTGCCTGTTGATCTCCCAAAGAGCAGTTGGTGGATTTGAACTGATGACCTTTTTGTTAGCCATCCAACATGCCACAAAATTCACACCCAGGCTAAGAGCGCTCAGATTGTTTTCTCACAGGGAGCAAGGCAGTATGTGCACAAAAAAGGAGGAATGTAAGAAAGGGGCTTGTAGTTAAGTGGTCGACAAGAACAGGCCCCACATCGTGGTTAAAAGGACGAGCTGACATTTACCATTGGGTGTAGTCCATTTCTGGAGAAATTGGTTATATCTAGACGGAAACTACCAGATGCTCTGAACCCCTCACCCCCACACTTGTAGCCCCCATTACTTAGATGTATCATGCTGTTTCCCTAATTTACATAGAATTTTTGCAATGCATTTTATTTGGTTTTTCAAGTGGATTTCTGTATGAGTTTTAGCACTCAGGAAAAAAAAATGGTGATGCTCTCATTGAAATATCTTTCTCATACTGCACTGTTCCATTCTGGTTTTAGTTTTCCTAACATTCTCATTAGCATTTCTCAGTATTAAACGTCTCATTATGGAGGGGAAGGCATATTTCCTAAGTAGATCTAGAGTAGAAGGGTTTCCCATCTGGGTACCATTTGTCCTGGGTACTGCTCTGATGACATGCGTGGGGGGTGCGGGTAGAAGCTGGTAGAATTGTTCTAGCCTCACTTTTGGTTTCAGACTTCAGCAAATCCTGTTTGAATGCCCAGGAGCCACTGGGATAGACACGCACAAGGCAAGCTCTGGTTCTGAAAGAGCTTATATTGTAGGGAGAGAAACAGACATCAAGTCACCAATCATTTACTTCTTTAATTGTCATGATGCTAAGTGTCTGGAGACCTGAGATTAAATTAGAATGCGGGGGAGTGAATGCGGAGGAGCGGTAGGGGGCTTGAGCATAGCAGTGATTATGAAGATGGTGGGTGTCCCCCCCCCAAATGCATGCATGTGATGATAATAGAATGTGGAAGCTGTGAACTACTCCCCTGTGATCTAATAGACCAACCAGTTGTAAAAGGATTACCGGTGGAATGCAAGCCCCTTTAATCCGTGTCACAGCTCTGATGAGATGTAAAGAAAGAATAGGGCAGGGGGGGGGGTGCAGGGGGAACCTCCGTACTATGACGTAATCGTCAGGAGCGGAGTGCGTCCTTTCGGACCCAGGCCTCTGCACCCAGGAACTGCTTTGTACCAGCAAGGCCAGGACACGTGGAGGGATCTCCAGGGAGTGAAGAAGCTGGCAGGATCAAGGACTTTTCCTCCGCAAATGACAGAGAAGAGCTTTCTCCTAGCGCCCGCTCCTTGAATCTGGACTTCTAAGCTGCAAGAGAAGAAATTTCGGTTTGTGAAGGCCTTCCACTTGTGGTCCCTCTGTTACAGCAGCACCAGAGAGCTGAGACTACAGAATCAGGCAGCATTTCATTCTGTTGTACACAAGGTCACTGTCAAAGGCACCTGCCAGCTTACAGAGTGTTAGAATAGGGGCTGACTGGGGGTTAGCATTGCAGCAACAAGTAGCTTTCCCTATTTGGAGGTCCAGGAGGACTTTTCTGGAAAGGGGTGTTGGACCTCAGATCTGATCATTGGTCTGTTAGCTCTGCCTGCAGGACAGCCCCTGACACCTGCCATCCCTCTCCACCCCC